CATCTCTTGTCTAGATTAGTTTATTTGAAATATTAAGAAGTTGTGTGTTTGTAATTCATGCGGATATTCATCGGTCCAAAAGAATGTAAATGTTTGGTCGAATTACATATGCACATGTGGTAATAAATATGTGACAATTGTAATTTTTTTTTATGTGAACAATAAATTGGTCCATAGATAAATTTATTGTTTGACATGATTTATTGTCAATATTTGATTACTATATTAAGAGTACCAATTACAAATTGATATTTATGTCTAAAAATGAATTAATTAATTGATAAATACAGATTATAATGTGAACATGTTTCTTTGGTTTTATTCTTCATTCAGTTAACTCTTCTGTTTCTACAATATCTGTAAACATCAATTCTGAAAAATAATGTCGATCCATCTATTGCCAATAGATATATTATCAGAATACAAATTTGATTTTCATACTTCAAATTTGATATTGAATATATAAAAGGTAAAACTAACTTTCTTCCTGATTATCTCAGCAGGGATGGAGCTAGAGCAACTAAGGACAAAAGTCCAAATACTTGAGATAAAAATTTTCTATTTGGAAACACAAATTCAAAATATCTAAGATATCATTCAAGGCAAAAATATAACCCTTGAGACAGAAGTAATTTGTACCAAGTCTAGTTTCCCTTCACAGGGACCAGTAAATACTAGTGCTCTCTCAAAGGATAAATGAAAAGAGAAGAAGGTAGTTGGAACTCCTTCACAGGGAATACTTAAGCCTATTACTGGTAATGAAGATATCAAAATTCCCACTAGGGAAGATATTCAAAATATCAAAAGCGAATATAGCTCTTCACAGAACCAAACTGAATCTAAACTTTCTATTGAAAGAATAGATCCAAAAGATATTGTCAAAATATGTCATGAGACAAAATTTCCCAGAAAAGATAACTATGAAGAAGTCATATTCTTTATTATTATTTTCAATGTTTTATCAAATTGGTATCTGGAAATAGGAAAGTGGATGAAAACTCTCCACTATGCAAAATATAACAAGATAAACTTTTATCCAAGAGCAGCAGCCAACTGGGTACGAAACTGTTTTAAGATAGGAAATATACTCTGTATATATCCCAGCAAAGATCTCAAAAAAATAGCCCAACTACCAGCCAATGTCAGGAAAGTTGTAAAGAGATATATTGAAGTAGTCAAGACAACAAACATATACATCAGATTTCATTCAGCAACTATGGAATGAGATTCCGTTCTTGAATATATGCATCCATCATTCCATGTTATCAAAATGGGATTTACAAACCAACATTTTTTACCAACCAGTCAAAAGGTTGTTAAAAATGGATACTAAGATATTATAAATATGATACCCTACAAAATAGCAAAATGGTACAAAGAAATATTTGAACATGTAACTCAGATTATTACTGAGAAAGAAAAAATATGAATTTATCCATCTGAAGACCTTATAATTTACTCCAATGCAAGGATGACTACAAAGGAAGAAGATATATGTTATCTTGACCAATTATTATTCGCAATTATCTCAAACTAAGTACATGGATAACTACTCTGGAACTATAGTGACCACCATTGTGAATATTGTGTAGTGGAAGATATGAGTCAAGCATCTCTCAACAGTGAAGAATTCCTTGCAGAATTCTTTAATTCTAAGATGGAAAAGTGATAGTGATAAAAGTGGCCCTTTATCACTACTTTAATAAAGAAATTTATTAAAGAAAAACTGTGGCTACTAAAAGACATAAGATAATACAAGAAAGTCTTCATAATTGTGACTACTCACTTACTGGTTGTCATAAGTGAAAGATAAATTCAAAGATAAGGTAGATAATTTCAAAAAGAGAGGTCTACTTAGCAAGAAAATAATGGAGAAATTGATGGAGATAAGATTGTTGAGCTACCCACCAAAAGAAAGGAAGAGGCACCTGTCAAGATAAGATTTCCAAAATCTTCTATATAAGGAGGCAAGAAGGGAAAGAAAGAGGCATCTCGGAGAACACTCGATCTCAAACACACTCTGAGAAAACACATCTCAAAGATAGATCTTTTGTAATCTGTATACACCACTTGTATTCAAAAATATTAGATAGTCAGAAGATAGCAAAACTTGTAATAAGGTAATCACTTATAGAGTTCAAAACTTCATAAGATAAGTACCAAAGGTATGTAAATATAGATTGTAAACATGTACTATTTCAGTTTATGAATATTAAAGTAAAGTTTGTTATGTTCAACAAAACTTTCATGAAAGGATTTCGTTAAGTCTCTCATGATTCCTCGGTAGTACAGATAGAGATTTTAAAAGATTTTCAAAACATTGATTTTGAATGGATGTTAGTCATGCCAAAGTACCCGTCTTTGACGAATGGTTTGGGGGGAAAAGGCAGTTTTCTAACAAAATTGTAGCACCTTGTGTGTGAGTTATTTTTTAAAATTTCATTTCAAGTAAGAACTTGATTCTGAAAAGAGTCTGAATAGTGGTGAAAACAGAGACTCTGAATACTGTGAGATAGCATCTGTGGAAACACGGCTAGTTCTCTAAAGTGAGAAATGCAACCTTAATTGAAAAGCCTTTTATGGAAGCAGTTGTGGACCCAAATGATTTAAAAATATTTTAAACTTTTATTTGATTCGGAAGATTGATCAAGTACATGCAAAGCATCTATAAGAGCATATTGGAGGGAAAGTCTGTTTACTTCCATTTGATTATTGTAAGTCATTTACTTGTTTTTACATATTGCTTTGATTAATTTTGATGAACACTTCACAAGTATCCACGTCCACTTCTAATAATGATAGTGATCCCAGATTATATTTAGATAAGAAAGGTATTTCGCTTTTACTTAAATTAGCTGAAAAATTTGAAGACATATTTTCTGTTGGCAAAGAAAAACTTGAAGAAATATATAGAGATATAGATTATTATTGTAAGCATAATATAAAAATTGATTCTGTAAGAACTAATAGAGAAATAAAAAAGGTAGAAAATATTATAACTAAACATAGAGATATACAAGAAGAAGTTTCAGAAGGAATAGTTTTAGGATATATAACTAAGAAATATCAGCCTAGAATCTTTGAAAAATTATCAATATATAGATAATATTTAAAGGTGTTTGAAAGATTAAAAAATATAAACATAAGTCCTGATTAATAAACTTCGAAAGAAGAAGGATACATCTTGCAAATAATAAAAGTAAGGATAACATAGTATTTTTTTATAGTAAAGATTATTGTGAAAAATAGAACAAATATTTTGGTCATTTAGAAGAATAGCCCGGAAAATGTTGGATTCTTCGGGGCCTTGTAAATTTAAGCCCCTTGAATCTTGGCAGCTATTAACCATCTCAATTTGATTATTGAGAAATTGACACCAGAGCATCATCCCACAATATCTTCCTCTACGGTAAGCTGCAACTCTTCAACCAAGTCCCTATCCTCAACACATTCACGTACAACGTTCTCCTTCGAGCTTATGATTCTCATTCGAGCTTATGATCATAGCAACACAATGAACATGCCTTTTCACCCCAGGAGCTGCTTGAACAAGAAAACCTTGCCCAGTTAAACATACTTTTTCCTTTGTTCTAAAACCCTGTATTTATTTATTGGCTATTAATGAAGGGAGACAAGGCCCAAGCTCAACTTTTGGAAAATGGGTTTGGCTCAGATGTTTATATAAGCAACAGTTTGGTTCATTTTTATGCTTCTTGAGGGTGAATGGAACATGCGAGAAAGGTGTTTGATAAGATGCCTGAAAGAACTGTATTCATGGAACGTGATTATGGATGTGCTCATGCAAATGGGAGAGTTTCATGAGGGGTTGAATATGTTCGTTGAGATGAAAAAATGGTTCGTTGGGATGGATACACATAGATGCTTGCGCAAGATTGAGGACTTTTGGGATATGGGCTCATGCATATCTATCGAGAAAGTGCGAATTTAATGCAAATTTTGATGTTTCGCTGAACAATTCTATGGTGGAAATGTATTCGAAGTGATTTTAGGATTTGCAATGCACGGGGAAGCTGAGAGTGTATAAAATATCTGTCCAATGATTGATGAAGGAAGATTGATGCCTAACTGGATCACATTTGTTGGCTAATTGAGCAACTGTAATCACATATGGAGTAATTCCATAGGTGCAAGGAATTATTGACATAAATGATACAGGCGATGTGTTGGCAGCATCTGTATGGTGTATTGATGTATTTTCTGCGTTGTTGTGTCAAAAACCAACAAAAAATTGTCAAGTGTCTTCTGTAAGAACTTTGTCAAACTATTTTTGTACTTGTAGCAAAATTGTCATATATGATGGTTGGGCTATGCTATGGGTATTTCCATGTGTCTATTTTGGATACCATTACGAATCCCCCTATGTACGAGAATATTAATCCATAATGGTTAATGAATATGATATATAGCCAGTTTTACACCCCTATGGTTGCCTAATTGACCTTCTAGCACGTAATGGAAAAATTGATGAAGCACTTTATATTGTATCAAACATGCCAATTAAACCCTATGCTGTGATTTGGAGGTCTTCTTGATGCTTCGTCCAAACCTGAGTTTTAGTGATGACAGAATGCTTGTGAGATGACTTTTTACTAGTTTTTTGATTAGCTGATTATACATCCATCTCTACAAGATGATACCTTCTAACTTGGTCTCTATACATAAATCGAGTGCTCGTGAAAGAAATCAAAGAATTTCTGGCACTTCAATTATTTTCGAGCAGCTTATAGTATTTTCTGAACAGTCGAGAGTGCTCCCTTATTTTTACTGGCACAAGATATTAAAGCCCGTGGACCTTGTGACATTGGCAATTGCTTAATGGAAAATCTCAAGAAACGAATCTCCTTTTTTACATTTTTCTTTTAATTATTTTTTGATAGTGGATTATTTAATACAAATCTTCATAATTCTACTTATACCTTTTTAAGTTAAGACAATTTAAAATGGAAATAAAATCGTTGGATCAAAGAATCTCACCAACATAACTAATAAATTCTAATATTTCATAAACTTAAGAATCAATTTGTATTCAAGTACAACATCAAAAAATTCAGCACTTAAATCAATAAACACACTATATGACTGGCAGGTACAGAATGAAAGAATCTGAAAGTCTGGTAGGTAGAAATCTCATTCTGTATCTTTCACCACTATTAATGTATATACAAAACCTTCATGAATTCAGAGTTTTCTAGGAATTTGGGCTATGCTTCGATTGCAAGGGGTCAGGGACAGCTGAAACAGGAGGTACAAAACACGTATTGATAACTTCTGGTTTCTTTCTAAAATGGAGCAAAGGTTTTCGCCAACTCTTGACCCACTGAAATGGCAAAACGAGACAAGTGGGTAAGTGCTAAAATTCGATGAATAAAGTTGACATATAAATTCAAATCCTCGAGGTCGAAACAAAGGCTAGTAGCATGTACAACGTAATTAGAGTAAAAGATTACCTTGGGACGAGGTCGAAACCACGATAACATGCATAGTTGCATTATTGGGAGGAAGCTGCAAACGAAGAGGATAAAGCTTCCCATTCAAAGGGCTACGAGTGCACACAACAACATCATCGATTCCTAATTCCTCCTCAAGCCTCTTTGCCAATTCTTGAACTTCATTTCCTTTGAATGTAATGCAAAGTTCTTCAAATCCCTCATCAATTTGCCCTTGTTCATCAGCTATATGGAAGTAAATCAACCTTCCGTCCCCCCCTTTTGGTGGCGAACTAACCAAAGAATCATTCGACTGTCAAAAAAACCATGTTAATATACACTCAGCATCCATAAATATGTTGAATCACTTCATCTACAGGTTTAAGTCATTAGGGGAAAAAACACGTCTATATTCATTTAATCAACTTGCCCGTTATAAAACTTTCATAGATAGGTTTTGTGAGTACCTCTTGTCGAGAGAAGCTAGCAAATTCTGAGGAATGAGTAGAAGGCGGGATTGAATTGGAAGCAAAAGAATCAGATTGAACCACCAACGGCGGAGGCGGTTTAGCTACCGGAGACTGCCCCACCAATATCTCCACCACATGAACATCCCATAAAATCCAATCCTGAGTGGCGGTCCGGTGAGGAACATCATGAGTAACAGAGTTCCTCCACGGCGGCAGCCCTCCGTTTGCACGCAGAAACTGCCCGTACCTAGTTTTCAGCTTAATAAATTTCCCTTCTCTTACGGGTTCCCACTCCAGCGACGAGTCGAGCCGCTGCGGCAGAGTCTGCGCTACCTTCCGCCCCGTCATGCCCAGTAGAAACGGCTGATTTGTGGCGGTTAAATATTTGCCGTAGCAACTTTTCAGGCGGATTATTCCGTCCAAATTCTCAACAAATTCTACCGTCCATTTGGCAGCGGTGGATGAGCCGTTCCGATCCTGGGTAACTGATTCTTCATCTTCCTCCGCCGTTAAGTACTTATCGTGGGCACTCCTCAGCCTCACTGCCTTGGCCTTGTGGAACATATCCATGGCTATTTTTCTTCTTAATTTCAGACCCAAATTTTACACAGCAAAGTGTTCTGAATATGGTAAATTAGGGTAGAATCAGTATATATATATATATATATATATATATATATATATATATATATATATATATTGAAAAGGAAAAGGAAAAGGAAAAGGAAATCGCGTAATGAATGACAGTCAGATCCAGCCAGCCAGCCATTAGATACAGAAGCGTACGAATAGAAGACACCTTCGATGGTTCTCCGAACGCGGTATTATTTTGACAATGTCACGTGGGTCCACGACATTGTCAGAGAATTCAAACTAGGAGGCTTTAAATCTCGGTGGTCCATTAGAGTTGCATTGAATGTCCTGGTTTTCACTTGACTAATATATAATCAGGTGGTCTAATGTGATTCTGGCTAGTTTCCATTATACCCTCCGTTCATTTCTATTTTTGGAAGAATGAAAACGAAGGATATAATCGTTACTAATTTTATATAAACGATAAAAAATTAAATTTGGTGATTTAATATAATGGATAACGATTATATTTTTTATTTTAATAAGAAAATAATGGGAACCAAATAGGGGTATAGATTATTTTATATTTTAATTTAATTTAAATTTTTTTTTCAAATAAATCAGGTTTGCTTAGCTTAAACAGTTTGACTCACTTTGGATCGAGTCATGTCAATTTTGACCATTCAATTTATTTATGACACTACTAAGCTATACAATCAAGGTAAAATAATTTTTAAACTTCATCTAATGAGTGAATTGTCCAAATGGTCACTGAACTTTGTAAAAGATTTTTAAGAAGTCACTGAACTTTAAAAATTATCTAAATTGTCACTGAACTTTGCAAAAGATTTTTACCTAATCACTGAACTTTAAAAATAACATAAATGCTCATTGAATTTTATAAAAAGTTTCCAGGGGTCATTGAATTCAATGGCCTTATGGAAACCTTTTGCAAATTTCAGTGACCATTTGGTGAATTTTAAAGTTCAGTGATCTCTTAAAAACTTTTTACAAAATTTAATGATCATTTAGGTTATTTTTAAAGTTCAGTAATCTCTTGAAATTTTTTTACAAATTTCAACGACCATTTTGACAAATGAAAGGGCCGCTGAATTTTCAAGGTCGAAACTTGGTGACTCACTTTAGAATTTGTTAGGTCCCCAGTGGATAATACCAAAGATGCTGGAAATGTATGAAAGATACAACTTTCTTTCTGGTTTGATAGGGAGAGGAGATAGTGACTTGTCTCCCCTAACTGGCTGCCATATTCGATATTATCTTCAATTTCTTACACGATACGAAATAAGCTAAAAAGCCAGTGGAGTCATAACTTATAATTGTATATGCTATTTTGTTGCAATTGCGTGAGGTTTTGGATTATATAACTTGACTCATTCAATGGAAGTTGATTTTAGAATATACTGCAATTGAGATTTGATCCAACTTGTTTGGTTATTGTTATTATTATTATTATTATTATTACTTTTTGATCCCACCGGATACAAATTTTATGGAAATGACCATAGTAGTGAAAAAAAAAGAAGAAAAGAAGGAAAAAAAAGGCGAATGTGGATAATGGCACAATGACGTTGGGCCGGATCATTTGAATTGATGGACTCGTGGGCCAAATCCTTAAATGTTGAATTGGTGTTGATTTGTTTCCTGGCCAAAAACGTGTTGTTGAAACACAACTTCTCTTAAGTAAGAACAGATGCACCTAATCTTGCCAAGTGTCCCCACTTGCACCGTTGGATGAACGATCTTCTAGTGCCTTCGATATTTATTTGGCACTAGGATTTGAGACACCAAACTTTTCACTTCTTTTGTCTCTTGAACTCTCTCTGGGTTCTTCGTTTTTCTCTCTTTTGCACTTTGAAATTAAGCACTTGTTGATGAGATAATTTCCAGCCATTTGGTATAGATCTTGAGTGATTTGTATAGGTTTATTATCTGTCATTCTTAAGTGAATGTTGTTCTGTATTGTGAGGCTTATTTGGGGAGAAATCTTGTGTGATTTCGTTCTAGTGCCATGGAGCTGTAATGGACTGATTGATATAGTGATATCCTTTTGGTGACGGAAGCTCAAAGGGGGATTAGAAACTTTGGTTCTAAATCTCTTGCCTTAAGGCGAAAAATCATCGTGTTCCTTTATTTTTATTTTTGTTTTTTTTGCATAATTTTTCCATATTTTGTTGATTTTTAAAGTGGCTAATTTTTAAATCAATCGTCACAGTGAAATTAGCCTATGTTTGTTTCTCATCGTTTTAAAATTTCTTTTTTTATAAGATTATTTTTAACTATACATTCATACAATAAAATATTCTGTACATAAATTTAAAACTTTTCCTTACTTTTTAACCATGCATTCTCTTAAAAAACGCTATTCAAAACTGTTTACGATGGTAATAATGGCTGCCTAACAGGAGCTAATAAGTTATGCATAATTTAGATTTAACCTTCAAATGTCAATGTAATTTCTTCTTCTTCTTCTTCTTTTAAGCATTTTGCTCACGTTAATTAACCATTGAAATGATTTTTTCAGGTGAGTGAGATTAAAAAATAAATAAAATTGAATTTCGGAATTCATGAGTAATTATGTGCATACTAGGAGACATAAGGAGAAGGAATAAAAGAACACAATATATGTAGATAAGATTTCTCATCAACTCCAACGGGTTCAGTTAGGTTTTATTAATTAACTTTGCAAATTAATAAGCTACTCGTTGCTTTGAAAATGATAATTTTTATTGGCTTCTGATTAATTAGCTTATAAGTTAATGATCTATTCCACCAATTAGCACTACACGATTAGAAACATGATTTTTAAACTCTCGATTTGGATCTTATGATCCTACAATTCCAAAATTACGAAAAGATCCGTCATTTTTTAGGATCTTAAATTTGTAGAAACTTACGTTCTCCATATTCGATTCTTTTTATCCTAATGATCCTCTATATCCTAATTGAATATTATTTGGAGTGAAAACTTTTATCTTAAAACTAAAATGAAATGGAAGTATACTTTGATTTCCTGTTTTGGTTCAACATTTAAAAGAAAGTTGTCATGTCAAGTCTCATTTTATTTGGATTTCTTTGCCTCCTAGATATCAATTGTAGACCTTTATAAAGTTGCAACCTTGGTTTTATAATTTGATTTTAGTTAGTTATAGAATTTAACATTTATTTATGTTTTATTATATTATAATTAATATATGATAGAATCTAAGTAATACAATGATCCGATCGGTAACACTCTTTCCTCGATCTAATCCAAAATTACAATTCTGACAACCTTGGTTAGGACCAATCTAAGTATTTTCGATTCGATACAATGATTTGATATGTAACTCTCTTTTTTTGATCCGATCCAAAATTACAATCATGACAACCTTGGTTAGAATAGTATAAACTTTTGACTGATCCCACTTTTGACAATAGGTTTGCAATTTAGCCAAGTCTTTCTAGATATCTGCTGATAATCTACCACAAAAA